AATGGAAATGGAAATGTAGGAAGTGGAAATGGAAACGCGAACGGTAATTTAAACGCCGGTTCATTCAATGGAAATAATAACGGAAATTTCAATTGGGGATCTGGCAATGGTAACGCAAATGGTAATTTAAATTACGGTTCATACAATGGAAATAATAACGGAAATTTCAACTGGGGATATAACAATGGCAACGCAAATGGTAATTTAAACGACGGCTCTGCCAATGGAAATAATAACGGAAATTGGAATTGGGGATCTGCTAATGGCAACGCAAATGGTAATGCAAACCAGAAACGTGGTGATAACAATGGCAATGGTAATGGAAACGGAAACGTCGGATCGTTCAATGGTAATAACAACGGAAATAATAATTATGGGTCTGGTAATGGCAACGCGAACGGTAATTTAAATTACGGCTCATTCAATGGAAATAATAACGGAAATGATAATTATGGATCTAATAATGGAAACGCGAACGGTAATTTGAACGACGGCTCATTCAATGGAAATAATAACGGAAATTTCAATTGGGGATCTGGCAATGGCAACGCAAATGGTAATTTAAATTACGGTTCATATAATGGAAATAATAACGGAAATTTCAACTGGGGATATAACAATGGCAACGCAAATGGTAATTTAAACGACGGCTCATACAATGGAAATAATAATGGAAATTGGAATTGGGGATCTGCTAATGGCAACGCAAATGGTAATGCAAACCATTGACTTTAAAAAGTTGTTATTTACTAGAACTAGAATGGACATTAAGTTATATTTAGTAGATTAATTTTCAATTGTATAATACATGTATTTAGTTAATTTGGGGGAAATAAAAATCAAACTCTAACATGCGATAACTATTATAAACTAACTATAACACATAATAACATGACCAGAGGTTGCTAATTATAATTAAATTCTGTCGAGATAGAGCTTATGAATATAAGTTATTGTTATGCGCTCTGTCTAATTCTAGCTGTGCAAAGTCCATATGTACAAATACACATGATGTCACATAATTAATCAGTCAACTATATACGGAATTAGCTATGTCATCACGTAGATCCCGATCCGCGTGATATTGGGCACGGGATCAGATCTCGTGATTAGTGAAATTAGAGTTAGTATATGTAAGGATGCAGCGATGCAAAGCCTCAGATTGATGCATCGTTGGGAAGATGGTCTGATATAGAGTACACCAATAAATCCCGAATATATGAAGGTGTACCAATAAGGCGCCGACTAATGAATCAAAACAAAAATGATTCATTAGTCTTGGTGACGCGATAAAAGTGGGATCGCGACGAGAATAGTGGGAGAAAATTTGATTATAAATAAGGAGGGCTTTAGAGTAGAAAAGTGATATAGAATTACAATTAAAAATTAAGTTCAATAGAACTATAAAATAATTCACCATTGTAATAAAAGTTTTTATTAAATAAAATAAATTACTATTATTCTTAAATAAACGCATACATTCCTTCGAATCATTATTGATCTGTCCCCACACTCTCTATTAATTAAGTAGTCTACCTTAAGGCTACGAACACCAAATAACGAACACCGCGACCGACGAATTGCCTTCTTAGGCAGGAACTAGCGCCACAACTTGGAGAAAATTTAAATTAATTAACGGAAAACTAACTAAAACAACCCATGATCGTACAATCTCACGGATTACTCGGTAGATTCCTCCAATGTATAGTACAGAAAAAGTATCGCCCCCCGATTTACGTGTGTAACCATTTTTTAAAAATACATTTCTTCCTTTTTTGATAATAAAACATCACTTTATTTATCTTTGCAACTTATAATTTCGTTAGGTGTCCACCTATACGCAGCTTAACAAAATTGAAAATGGAAAGATTTTGGCGTACATAGACACCACAAATGCCGCTCAAATCGCAAAAATACTCGGACGCTACAACGGTACGCCACTTTCTAAACAAATATAAACGAACCAGAAAAGTGAAACTTACCACGTTTAGGAAGATTACCAGCCTTACACAATCACGAAAAGGATTTACATATACGTGAAGCTAGCAAAAAACGACATGCATTGCGCGAAATAGTCAACAATTTAGGCCTCATTTGTAGTTTATCAACCGTCGCAAATGTATCGCACAACGCCGGACTTTACTCACATATCGCAGCAAAGAAACCTTATATATCGGAAACACATACATATGCTCATATTAAATGGTGTGAAGAAAATAAAAATAAATCAGCTTATGATTGATTGAAAATAATAAAACCAGTGTGGAAGTTGGAAAGCAGTCACGGCAGCCAAGAGTTTGGCGGCATCCCGGAGAAAAGTTTAACGTTAATTATTTGGCACCTACCTTTAAAAGTGGACAAAAATCTATAATGGTTTGGGGATATTTCGCGGAAGGACCATTAATTTTTTGTGATGAATATAAAAAAATGGCGAAAAAATAACTGCAAATACCTATCTCGAAATCTTAAAAATTCAATTACTTCCATTCCAGAACGCGATTAGGGAATTAACGCAATCTTTCAACATGACAATGCGCCGATTCATACTGCGGGAAAATAAAAACGTGATTATTAATTGGCCGGCGAATTCCCCAGACCTGAAACCAATAGAGAACATTTGAAAGATATTAAAGGACAATATTCAAAAAATGAGAACTTTCCGACGACTGTGAACGAACTTAAGATTGCACTTAAGATGGAGTGGGAAAAACTTGATGTGGCCATTTTAGAACGGGTTACTGCATCAATGCCACGAAGAACTAATGCAGTATTGGAGTCAAATGGAGGGCCAATTAAATATTAAAAAATTTTATTTTTTATTTGGTGTATAAATTGACGAAAATCAAATAAATTGAAAAATGATCTAAATTTTTATTTTTAATTTGCATCCGACACCACGAAGTTTCGCCGATCAAACGTTAAAAGTAGCCCATATGTAAACTAAACTTTTTACTAACACAACCGGCCATGGTGTGATAAGTAAACTTATTCACGATATCTACCTGCATATGTTTTAACTTTGAGCAACTTTGTATAAATATTGTGTGAAAGACAAAGGCTTACGTCAAAGATAAAGATTTTCGGAAAATTACGTTAAAACTTATGTTATAATGTAACTCGAAAAAGCTAATTGTAAATGCATCCTCGCGTTATTAAGTAAAAACAATGTTTATATTTTAAAATATATAAATTTAAAATCTGAGATGATTTGGTTTCGATTTCATTGCATGAGCAGCTATATCATACAAGGTAACTGTTAGTACAAAATTTCGTGTTGGATAACTAATTATTAACAACAAAGAGACGCGTCTAATTGTGAAAGGTGACTGGATTCTGGCGAGTATATAGTTGCAAAAACTCAAACTTTAGCAAATTTTATATTTCCGATTATCATTCAATGAAATCGAAACCAAATTTTAGATTTACATATTTTGAAATATAAACATTGTTTTTACTTGATAACGCGAGGACGCATTGCAATTAGCTTTTTTGAGTTACATTATAACGAAAGTTTTAACGTAATTTTCCGAAAATCTTTATCTTTGATGTAATCCTTTGTTTTTCACTCAATATTTATACAAAGTTGATGGCCGGTTGTGTTAGCAAAAAGTTTAGTTTACATATGGGCTACTTTTAACGTTTGATCGGCGAAATTTCGTGGTGATCGGTCATTTCTGTCTGGGCACTGTACATGTATTACAAGTAATTTAAGGAGAAAAAATTAATGAATTGCGAAATTTAACATTACTACAGTAACTCTACACACTTTTTTCTTGAATCGTACCCCGGGGGGTAAGGAAGAGGGTACGGTATGATGAGGATATAATAGTAGGATACAATATATACGTGAAATATATCATACCATACCCCGGGTACCAATCAATTTTGCTCACACTTTCCCCTTAATACATACACATATAAATTAAGGGGATATAGCATGACGTGGGATAAATACCATATTTGAGGTTCATCTTAAAATTAGCACACAAAACAAAAGTAACTAAAAAAATTACAAAGAAGTTAGTTTCCAAGAGCAATAATATAGAGAAATTTGATTATATATTCAGAACAAATATGTAAGCATATAAAATTTGAATCAAAAACAAAAATATACCATTGAATCGTGATTCTTCATCATCTACCCGACCGTTTGATTCGTCTAGTCCAATCGAATGATAATATTTTCCTCCGGATTTGGTCCGGTAGATGATGAGAAATCTTATTTTAAAGTAGGAATAGATTTTTATTTTCCTATCTCTCATGATTTCCCGATAATATAAAGGTATATATTTCCCGAAATCTTATATATTAGTGACTATATTTACTTAAAAATTAGTTAAGTGAATTATGATACTAATTTGAGACAAGAAATAAATTCCTTTTTTATATACTTTATTTTCGCGAATAAGGTTATTTTAGAAATCGTACCCTCTAAAAATACCATGCTTATTTTCAAAATAATGCCCATGGCGTCCCGCAATAACACGCATCCCATAGAATGAATCGGCAGATTTACGTACAGTAATAAACTGTATTTTTTAATATTGAAAATATATCGCTATACATAATAGATCTTATAATTCGACTTCGACCTTTAGTTCGATCCATCCAATTATATACAGTACATATAATATTGTTAGACTAATCATTCCCGGTAACTATCTGTTATGAAGTTCTTTGACCTTTGTCTCATATGGGCGTCGTACTCGAAAAAGAGCGCAGATATTCAAAATTGTACGTGGACGTTATTTCGCGAAAATACGGTATTATCAAAACGCATCTTTAGTTTGTTCGATCATAACACTAGGAAACGATGATGCTTTTGATAATCTAATTTTTGTAAAGTACAAAGTTATCTAAAATGAAATTTTATACAATATCTTCGAATGCATTATCGTATTATAATTTCATTAGTATAAAAAAAAATTTATTGACTTGTTTATTAATATAATGCACAAAGTTTGGTTATAAAAAAATAAAGCATCAGATTAGTAGTTCTCCAAAAAGTTCAAAAATTTCAAGTGTAAATTCAAGATTGAATTCAATTATAATAATATAATCGTAGTTTCAAACTAGGATAACAATTTCGCTTAAAATATAACATAGTTTCAAAATAGGATAACAAATTCACTTAAAATATAAAACAAAATAAAACGTGTTTTTCTATATGTTTAATTAGAGCAAATTAAAATTTTTATTAAAATGTTTTATGTTTTTATGAGTAGCAATTTTTATTGTAAATATTATATATAGTTTTTGTAGTTTATTTTTATATAAAATGAATAATTGAAAATAATAGATTTATTATATTTTATATATGATTAGAGCTAATCTATATATTATATTTTATAATTGCAAATTGCTATTTATGAAGATATAGAGTATTTTTGATTACTTGAACATTTTATGTGTATAGTAGCCCATATAAATAATGTACCATTTAAATTGCCAATTATTATTGTGTAGTTCCTAACTATGTAAGAGTTGCTGAATAAATAGATCTCATCAATCATTATTAAACATGAGCTCTATTAGAGATGGATTAGTCCAGTCCGATCCAGTCCCAGTCCAAAAGACCTGGTCTTTTTTTAAGATCAAACCGGACTGAAAAATGAATCAGTCTTTGATCACGTGATATGATTCATAAATCAGTAATTAGATTAATTAGAATTTGATAGAGTTATATATAGAATTGCCTTCCCAACATATTTAATTAAAATCCAAGTTGG